TAAACAAATTTAATATTGGCATTATTTTCCGGGTCATGAACATATGAACAAGGTTTCCAGGTCAAGAGTTGGATAAAATTTGAGAACGTTGGCTTTAAACGCCTCTGGTCAGGGACGAAATCCGGGTTTTATGTTGCGAGACATCAAAAGTGTGACATGCATCAGTCCTCGTAAGTCTCACGTTACTTTCTCATTAAAACAACCGTTCATTAAGTTTAAATAACTACATTACGCATTCGTATTTTAGTCGATTTTGAGTCTAATTACTCATCCCGATTGCTACGTAAAGCGATATCGTTGTTTTTTTTTAATTTGGCCATGATATTCAAACATGTCAAATATGGTCAAACGCATGAAATCAAACGTTACATATCAAATAAATTCGAAATAGAAATCGTTTATGAGACACTTAAAAGGCAAAAAAATCTTAAGAAAATCGATTTACTTATGCAATAAGTTATAATAACAAACTTTGTGTTATTTCTGTGTTGTTTCACTAATATTCATTCGTTTCACTATCATCGTGCTGTCGTTTGCCTTCACTATAGCGTAGTCACTTCAATTTGTTATACGTTGAATTTCACCTTTGAGATATCCATCACGACGCTTTGTGACACAATGTTCCTGTATCAAAGCTACATCCGCATATATCCAGTTTCGTACTTCAGTGTAAATAGTCTTTTGTAGCCAAGCATTCCATCTCTGAAACTGTCGAAAAGACCAATATACTTATTCAAACAAAGTACAAAAGATTATGGCAATTTATATAATTACTAAATGATTCATTGGATTGTAATTTGGTTTTTGGAGTGCTATGTAACGGTAAATATTAATTTATAAAGTCAAATATTAATAAAGTTTTGTACATTTTTTTGAAGCCCAATGTTTGACTTTCAAAACCCTTCATAAAGCTGTATTTAATGTTATTTTTAATATTATTTTTATTATAATGTATGTATGTATGCATTAATGGCGAAGATATTATAAATGTTTACTATAAAAATATCAAGAAAATCTATTTTTCTTTCATTAAATCTCCAGAACACAACAATGGAACCCACTTTTCTAACTTATTACGATTCTCATATTATTATTAGTGATTGAAATAAAATAGTTAATATTTAATATTATTTTCATGTTATTATTGCCAATAGAATTTCAATGTAATAAAATACGTTCCCTTTAAGAAAATTGAGACGTCACAAAATTTTTCGTATAAGTATTTCTAAAGACATCCCGAGTATGCTTGAAAGATTTCAAACTTCCCTTCTTGGCTTTCTTGGTATTTTTTTTACAAGAGATAGGCAAATTTTTGTGATGTAAGGAATATTCCAAAGTTACTTTATTCGCATACACTAAAGGGCTTTTACTGTGAGGAAATGTGTTATAAAATTTGTAATAACAAACACGTAGCCGGAACGAAAACATTCACTTTTATGTTATGGATTGGGAACGTGTTCTACTTGCGCTTTTGTTCCTGCATAAAAAGTATATTTCTGTTTTTAATTATATCCGTTGTCTTTTGAATTGACCGTAATTTTTTTTGTAATCACCTGGTTCTCACAGCTAAAGTACACAAATATATAAAGGTAAAATGTACACTAAAATAAAACTTATAAATTAAAACAAAAATTAACAACACAATAATATATCGCAAAAAAACTTTATTTTGTTTAGTGTAGTCTCGTAAATGTACACAAAAAATAAAATAGAGACTTAATTCGTTTAACTCATTTTGAATATTTAATAAAAAAAAAACATAGATTTTCACTGACTATAGAAATTACGGATTAAAAGATTCAGATCTTTCAATCATTTTGTACCAAAGTTTATTTAAGGATACCTGGAGGGCTATTTTTTATTACGTAACTTCAAAACAGCTAAACTGATCTTGATGAAATTTATCACAGATGTAGAATAACATTGAAAAGAACGCAAAGACAACTTACTAAGATTATTCCTTAATTTCGCGCCGACGAAATCGCGGGCAAATTCTATACCCATATACTTTTTAGTGACTTTTAATATGTTCAAATTAGGATCTATATTGAAAGAGGATAGATATTAAAACATTCACAGCCATAACACAGAGGTTCACACAAGTGGAGCTAATATAAATGTAACATTACAAAAATAACTACGTTTTTAAGCTTTCACACATTGCCAATCGTTTAAATAAAAATCAAACAGCACCGAGCAGAGCGTGTTGTTCTTGAATATCAATAAATAAGTCGATGCGTATCTCCCGACGGGTGTAGTCCGTCGGCTAAACGCGTTCCCAATTGAGTTCTCTGAGTGTACTATCACTCATAATTTACCCACTAAAAGATTAAATTCTGCGCCAAGAATGAGATTACATTCCTTGAGTGTACAAACCAATTTGTGTGATACGTGTTCATTGTACAGATTGTGAAAGGAGATATTTTTTTGTGTGAATAATCTGGATATCTCAATCCATCAGGATCCCAACTGATTTAAACTGGATGAGACATGATTTAAAAAATTTAATAAGATATAACTTTATAAATATACACCATCGCTTGGAAGTGACAACTTCAGCTTCGGTCCGACTTAAACGTGACTTTTGATGTTACTGACAGTTTATTCCATCTCTATTGTTTCGAATTCTCACCACTGTTAGCTACCACAGCCGTTGAAGTCCAAAATGGCGAAAATCAAATGGGCACGAAATACTTAGTCTTATAGCCTGTCCGTGTAAGACATGCACATAATAAATGTATGGAATGTTACGTTGGCAACTTCTTCTAATTTTCATAAAACAGGCGACACACAAGCAAGCATGTCTGGTGTTAAGTTACCATCGCATGTAGCCATTGCAATAATAAAATATGTTATAGATTTGCTGATGTTGCGTTCCTTTAAATACAGGAGAAAATTAAGAAGAGTTTTTTTTGCCACATACAGAATGAACGATGATCCAAATGTCTTTTTCAAATATATACAAACTCTTTTAATAATTATTAAGCCATAAATAATACAGGCGTAGAGTTTTCATGAAAATATTTTGAAATTCATAAAACGGTTACAATGAAACATGTAAACACAAATACATTTTACCGCGAGCAAAATTGGTTTCGTTTACTTTTGCATTGCAAATCATTCATAATGCGGTACTGTGATTAACGTTATAAAAGTCGATTACAAATATCATACTAATATTATAAATTCGAATGTTTGGATGGATGGATGTTTCTTTGAAGGTATCTCCAGAACGGCTCAAGGAATCTTGATGAAATTTGGCACACATACTCTGGAAGAATACATAAGCATTAAGTTTTCTTTTATTCCACGTGGACGAAGTCGCGGGCGACAATTAGTATATTCATATATTTCCAAATAAAAGTTGTATGAAGTTCTTATTAAAATATTCAGAATTATATTCACGTTGAGGTTTTGTACGAAGTTTTCAAACCATTTTTCAGGGCTAATTTTCAAACAATTTCTTTCTTGTTAACTACTTTATAAGTTTGTGCGGTTATCGTAAAAATAAATTCGATAATAAATTTTTGTTTTTAAGATCGTCTTACCGATTCAAGATTGTATATTAGATTAACAGACGTATAAAAGACGATAGCCCCTGTAGCTAATTATTTAAGGATTTAATTATAATTTATTTCTTTAAAGTATACAACCGTTGATAGAGATATCAGTTTATTCTCTTAGCTAAATCTTCTTCATGTGCATTGGTCTTCTGCTGGGAATTTCCTTTATCAGTGGTAGAGCCCGCTTTAACATCTTCGCACGAATCAGCCCGGCTTGCCCGGTGAAATACCACAACCACACAGAAGACAGGCGTCAAGTGGAAGCTATTATCATTCTCATAAGGAAAGGATGGGAAGTAGAAATGAACTTTCCGGATGAGAGGATGCATGGGAAGGGAAAATATTTTCTTTCTGTGCATTCTCTCCTCCGTCGATTAAAGGTAGGCAACGCATATGCAAATGCGTATGTCTATGGGCAACGGTCACTTCGCTATTCAGCGATTTCAGGTGGCCGCTCTATCATTTGCTACCTTATGATATATAAATAAAAATCTTTTTACTGTTTCTTCAACGTAGCAGCATTGAGATTCTCTAGAATTATTAAAAGACATTGCACATTTTTTTATTTGCTATGAAACATGCTATGAATCGAGGAATATGTTTTATTACTACTTATAATTTTCTATGTTCTTGATATTTCCTATTGTTTCGATGAAATACGTCTAAATAGAAAGAGATTTGCGACCTTTGCCATATCTAATCTTTACTTAGTTTTGGATCAGAGCCAAAGTCCAGATTAGCAGTGTCTTAAGAAGTAGTCCTTTGTGCCGGGCCCGAGTTACAGAATACTTTAATAAGTTCAAGACCTCTCTGAATGATAAATTAATTTCTAAGCATTAATATTGACATCTGCTCGGTTTACGCTTTGTGTCGAGACGATGAATTTAAGCTTTGCTTTATGCTCGGTTTGCACTTTGAATTAATTTATTGTTCGCGTTAATTTCATAATGATTAGATTAACGGACCATTTTCACTAGATTCTTTAGAGATGGAAAATTTTAATTTGAATGTTTCTAGTGATTTTCATATGGATTGAACTATTTGGTTGTTTTAAGTATTATTTTGTGGAGGTAGTTACATGTATATTGAATTATTTCGAAGACTTTAAGTTCGAATGCAACAAGTAAAACGCGGCTTCATCCCGCTTGTATTCTTGAATGTAACAATTGGATTGTATTTTTTAGGTAAAATTATATAATATATATGCAAAAAATTATGCAAACGACCACATTGTTATAAAATAAATATTATAAATCGGTATTATTATGTTATACCGCAATTTTTTGCTGTTAAATTTAATTAAAATATTGATTTAAAGAATTTTCAAAGATTTCAAAAGGAATTTTTGATGAAAAAAAATCTACGATCTTTTTCGATTATTTCATCACATGCAACTGTAGAGAAAAAATATTTTTTAAAATTGAAAATCAAGCTTACCTTTTCATTAAAAAATAACTGGATGCAGGCACAAGAAAAATCCAGATAAAATTTTTAAAACACAAAAAAATAAGTTCGCAGAAACGGGGCACAGGGTTGTTCTGTTCACTTATTCACTAGATGGTTTTCGCGCGTCAGAAACATAGAGACGTCCGACTAAGCCGACGTCCGCGACAGCACTGCTCCCGGATTCCCGCCCAGCCCACCCTATCCCCTACCTGTTACAGGTACGGTGGGCACATTCAGACCTAAGTAGCTCATATTGATGGACAAATCGAATTGATTTCCGTACCCGACTTATGTACGTATGGTCTTTTATTTCGCGACCTTATTATCGAGCTTTTAATGAGCTTTTATTACAACTTTATATTTTTTAAATTACCATATTAAATTGGCTAATTTATTTGAAAATATAATAAAAAAATCGTATATACGACAGATTCAAAACGTAGATATTAATGTGTACAAAAAGAGGTAAGCAGTAACAGTATATTTAAATTTGGAACGCCTGTCACGCCTTACAATTATATATGAAATATAACTTTTCTCTCATTTTCCTTATTTCTAGCGTTTTTTTTTGTCAAGATAAATGTTGTATTAAACAATAAGATCACACTGATACGACTAAACATGTACATAAACATGTACATAATTAGATATTTCTTCATATCTGTGTAAATTTTTCTCGTCTCGTTAATTTATAGAAATTGCAAAACGTTATGTGATCTAGAAATATCTAATAGTACTTTTACTTTTGAAAGACAAAGGAATTCACATATATTATTCCAAGCTAGTTTTCTTTGGCTGAGGTAAAAATCACGCCTTTTCCTAAGCTATGCAAAAGTTTCTAAATTAAATTCCAGCGCGTCACAAGGTGAGCGCTTTCCTTTTAATGCATAGTTTTCTTTTAATATTTGGAATTGCTTACATTCTCCCTTTTTATTATTCCTTTTAAACCGCTATAACTAACTAGCTTTTGCACGTGACTTCGTATGAGCTAAATTAAAAGGCTACTAATAAATATAGTCTATGCTAGTGTTAATGTAACTTTTTAAAGTCAAAAGATTTAATTGAAATATAATAAGTTGATTAGGTTTTGATTTCTTTTTGTTCTTTGTTTAGTACTTGATCGTTGTTTAATATTTAAAACTGGCTGTCGAAGCTTCTTTTAAAAAAAAACAACTGAGGTAATAGTCTTTACCCTATTCCGTATTATAACTTATTTCTAATCCATATTGATTCGTCCATCTCTTCTCGAGTAACGTGGTAACAAACATTTCAAACATTTGCGTTCGCATCATTAGAAGATCTTACTTATTACTATCTTATTAATATTATAAATGCGAATGTTTGGATGCATGGATGTTTGTTTGAAGGTATCTCCAGAACGACTGAACGGATCTCGATGTAATTTGTCATACATATAGAACATAGTCTGGAAAAACACGTAGTCTACTAATTATGTTTATTTTTTAATCGCTAGCGAACGGAGTCGCGGGTGACCGCTAGTTGATATATAAAGCCTTTGAAACTTGATATAGAAAATAATATTCAAAAGCATATTATTTACTCTCAGTTAATCTCTGATATTTACTCCGCTAACAAATTGTTAATGACAGCTCTTGTCAATAACACGCTAAGCTTTGACTATCAAAAGCTTTGCTACGTCAGATTGATTAGACAGAAGAATCTATCCACTCATTTTTGTTGTCGTCACACATATCTTTGCTTTTGACATCTGCCAAACATCTTGTTCTCTTTTTGTTTGAAATGTTTTTTATTCTGTACAAAGGGATAAAGTTTTTTTTTCTGTATGTGTGTATGGATTTATTCCACCGATATGGTATAACAGGTCACTCGGTCCGAGGCTTTTTGATTTTTAATCACTTTTTAATGAAAAAAAAAATTGTTAATAAAAATATTTAAACTTTAGGCTATTTCTCTACGTGTCTTTTTTAATAATTTTTACTCGATAAAGGTTCAACTTTAGTCTCCGTAGATTTTCCGTAATAAAGAAAAAGTACATTATAAATTAGGTCCTTTGTTCTGTCGCGTTTTAAAATTGCTGAACTTTAAAAGTTTGAACATAAAAACGTAATGAAGTGAAAAATTTCAAATAACCCAATTAAACTAAGCATAGAAGTTTTAATTATTATGTTTGTAAAAAAAATATTTTAATCATCGAAAATTTCAATACTGGCTGGTTTTTGAAGTCTATTAAATTATTATGAGGTGTATAAGTATAAAAAGGATGGCAGTATACATACTCGTACAAAAATTAAGAATTATTTTCTTTCATGAATTAAAAAGAAATTAGGAACTCTTGAAAACTTTTGTTTTGCAAGATTTTATTTATAAATATTATTTTTGAATACGCTAACTCAGAGACGTAAAATGCACACTGTCTTCATCAATCCGGATGCACGATGAGCATTAATCGTCATAAATTACAGGATGTTTACAAAACGAACACAATTTTTGTTTACAACACATTAAAGCGCGGTTGCAGTTAAATGTTAAAATATTTATCTTTTAAAACACCATTTGAATAGTCAAATGACGTAAGATTATAATTTTCTATATCGTTGTATTTTATATTTTTAGTCTAAAGTACAATGTTGATTTTATTATATTTATTTTAGTATCATCAAACACCCTAGAACTAAGTAAGCAACTTCGGAAATGTAGCAACTAAATCTACAGTTAATCCCTCGAGATTTCATTAACTAGCTAATGTACACAGACATTATCACAGACCTACACTTGGCACGCGCCTGTCGTATCCTAGACATTGGGAGATAAACGAACTGAAGCTTTCAACCCATTTGGGTTACATTCGTCTAACATTTGGATAAAGTACATCAAATAATGGCTGTAAGAAATAAAATGTTACACTTTTTTGTTGTGTATTTTTTACGCGTGTTTTGTGTTGCTTTAAATTTGTTTTTAGTTGAGATAGGGGTTTATCTGACATGTTTGTAAACGAGAATTTTAAGAGTGAATTTCCATTGACGAAACTAAACCATTTTGTCATTCTTTTTACCCTCTTATAAAACGAAGATAGCTGTACGTGTTTATTCAATTATTTAAGCAATGGAAACACACGGTTGCAACAATCATCAATTCTAACAACGAACTTTATATTTTATTTCGTAGCAAATCTATCCAGTTACAGTTTCTAACTAAAGTCCAACTTATTCATATTTCATACGCCTTAGGCTTTTAGGGTTGCATTTATATATAAAGTGGCATTGGTAGCGACATTACTGTTTTAATTTATTTGAATCAATGACGCGTGTAGCGAAAGAAAAACATCGTGGGAAAAATTGCAAGTGTGAGTTATAAAAAATAAACTGTTGCGAAACAAAGACTTGGAAAGGCCGGAAGCGGAGTTTTATTCCAATAACCCCGATAGAACTTTATAGCTTGCAACATTTTTGTTTTATTTTACTTTAAGTAAATTTTTAAGTACTTTAGTATTAACTTATTTCGTATTAAAATAAAATAAATCTTATTTTCAGTACTTGTTCATAAAAAACATATTCCTATATTATATTTTTAATTTTTTTTATATACAAAAATAAATAAACGTCTAAATGCCTAACTTAATTATTAGTATGACAGTGAAATTCTTCAAATAAATATTCAGTAAATATTTTATTCCACAACAGCTTAAAAAACTTCTTTTTTACTCTACAAAAAACAACCATAGAAAGTTTCTTTTATAACTTCCTTATTTGTTTTGGTTCGAAGAGACTCGATAAATTTTATTGTTTGCACAAACCGATAGTTTTATTGACACTTTGTGTAAATAAAGAAAATTCGCACGTTCTTCTTTGACAAAAAATATTTATGTTTATGACAAAAAATATAAATAAATTATGGTTTTGTATTTCGAGACAATGCCTGCGACTTTGGTCGCCTCAATGATACATTTTCAAACACCGAAGTAGGAACTTCATTATTGAAAAAAAAATCACTATACAAACTTTTTATCCACACCTTTAGGAGATGAATTTAGTACACATAGTTATTGCTGGCCTTATCAATAAAATATTATTAAAAATATATCTGTACAAAATTTAAAAAAAAAGTATTTTTGGATGTGCGTTGACAGTTAAAATTATTATCAGCCAGTCAGTTGTACTTTGCCAGTCTCTAACAAGTTTAAACAGAACCATAAACACTTGACATTGGCCTAATCCGATGAGAGAGAGCCATAAACAAGAAACAGAAACAGTTGTACTTTTACGTATTGATTATTAACGGGAAACATATATTAATCCAAACCTCGTTAAATTTAAATCATCGAAAATAAATCGATATAAGCTGTGTTGATTGATTTTCGTATTATCAGATTTAAAAAGATTTATAATTCTTTCCGCGTTCGGAGTTTGATCTGCCGGATACAGTTAATTAAAAAAAAATTATCGGTTTATTTTTCACTTTTCACTTGCAATATACGCTCGGTTAATTTTTAAAATAAAAAAGATTATTTATAATACATTTCTTGTGTAATAAATATTTAGTACCAACAGTTTATATACTAGTCTGATTGTAAACTGACTTAATTCACAATGGATCGGTGACATGCTGTTTTAACCGTATACTTATTCATATTTTTATTTCAAAACGATGATGCTCCAATAGCATTATTCACACTAAGAATAACGAAACCGCACAATTAAAAAAAATACTCTTCACTTTTTTTTATAACAGCAAGAAGGCCATTTCCTTTTTTGAAATTTTTCTTTGTAATAGCGTAATTTGTTTCCAGAATGATGTCGATATATCATAATAGGGGGAAACGGCTGAAGAAGTACAGATTTTATTTATGTACGCTTTTTATGAATCCATGATTATAATAAATATTGTATACAAACTGCATAATGAAACGTGAATGTTTGTATAGATATTTGTTCACACGTAACATCAATGTATGGATATGAATAAACACAGAATACAATCTGAAATAACATATTGGGTTACATTTCATCCCGGAAAAATGTAGGATTCATACTTGAATTTGTTTTAATAAACAACAATCCCTTTCGTCCGTCTTAATAACGACGTAGTCGTATTAATCAAGCAATAATATTCCACAACAGTGATAGAGTCCGCTTTAATATCTTTATCGAATTGGGCCGGATCGCCCGGTGAAATA